TCTGCTGAATCACATTTTCCCACACTTTTACTGGCACTCTCAGAGAACTCTAAAAGATTAGTGAGATATTATTTATCTTTCAGAAGCCATGTTGATTCTGTTTTAGCAGAGCTTGTTCTTCTTTATTTTTTTACTAATCTTATTGTACTGCTTTCAAAGCATTTACCTGGAACAAATGTGGTGTTACATTGGCTGGACCTCTGATAAAGTTCTGCTCTTGGACACATATTATTTATTTTTGCTAAATGATTCTCAGTGTCACATTTGATATTTTAAGAACTCCAGGATGGATACCATCTGGATCTGTCGATTTATTAACGTTCAGTTTGTCAGTAAAATTGAGAACTTCATTTTTTGTCTTTACTATTGGCCTGAGTTCCTCAGATTCCCCTCCTGAAAACATTTATTTGGCTACAGATGTTGTTAATGTGCCATCAGCTGGCTATCCCCAGCATAATTGTCTTCTCCAGTGAGTCTTGCTTTCTCATGACATGTCCAACATATGATAACCTCAGTTTTGTCATTTTTGATTCCAGAGAAAACTCTGGCTTGATTAGATCCAGGACCCACTTGTTCATCTTTCTCTCAGTCCAGGGTATTTGCAAAGCTCAGGCACAGATATCTGTCCTTTATTTTGCCAAGGATGACAGGTGATCTCCTTATCTTCCCTTTATGTGCACTCTTAATCAAGCCTCTTCTTACCATAATCTCTTTTTTGTGTGTGTTACCATCCCTATTGTTGCCAAAATAGTCAGATCTTGGTGAATACTCAAAATGACGGAAAACTGGTGTATATTTTTGCATAGTTACAGTATTTGTTCTATATATTTACATTAATTTAATTAAATAATTTCTTTAATATCCTACCTTTTTCCTTTTCAAGGAATTCAGGGTAGCTTACATAATCGCCTCCTCCTCTAACATTATGCTCATAACAACAATTCTGTGAGGTGGATTGGACTGAGAGGCTGTGACTGGCCCAGAGTCACTGAACTCCATGACTGTATGGGTACTTGAACCCATACCTGAGTCCCAACCCAGCACTGCTAACCACTGTACCACACTGGCACTCTGTATATATCTATTCCATTGCTTCTGATAACTGAAACAATGGAATAAGTTTATTTTTAACTTCATTTTTCTGGCTACAGATTGGTTTACAACTGCATTGTTCAATCACACTTTTAAAAAATTTCTTTATGAGCTGCTTAGGAGCCCTTGAGCTTAAATGTGAGACAGATAATTTAGTACAAATAAATTAATAAATTAAGTAGTTCAGAATACTCTCCACCAAACTCAGTCAGACAGACTTCTGAGGATAGACTTATGCTGGAAGAACTTTTTTTTATTTGCTCTTTCATTATCACCTCCAAGAATGTAAGCTTGTTAAACTCTGCATATGTATGATGTGTGTTCACTAGTTTTAGAAGTGCCCATGTTGGGGCTAAACGTATCTTTCAACAAAAGTGTTTCACATATGTAAGCTGTAAGTGCACATTTTGTGAAATTAATGAACCTTTGATACATTAATGGAAGAATATATTTTTCTCTGCATACATTACCACACTCTTTTAACCTTCCTTTTATGAAACCACGTAGAGGTGGCTCCTGTGGGCTGCCTGAATTATTTTGTTCACACGCTAATTTACATAGAACAGCTGTGTAACAACCACTCATGAATAAGAGTTATATTTAATGAACACCCTTCTTAAGCACCATGTCTCTGTTTCTAACTGAATATTAGAATGGCACATAAGCTGCTCAATGTGGTTTTGAGCAGAAGAGCTGAGCAAAGAGTGACTAACAGTGTGATTCTATATATGTCTACTAAGAAGTAAATGCTCTTGACTCCAGCAGAGTTTACTTTGGTAACCATATATAGGATTGCAGCCTAAATTTATTTTTTTAGGTAGCATTTGTCTGGGGAACCCTGGGATACTTCAGAGTCTGATATCCAGGGCCAGAGACAAGACATCAGTCTCAGAGTCAGGAATCTGCAATCCAATTCCTCTCCTGCACAACTTGCAGCCTGCGCAGAAAGAGCTGCGGTGACTGCTTTTTCAGGGTCGGGAGCTGAAGCTTTTCAGGGAAGGGATAAAGGGGGAATTTCAGAGTGCAGGGAGTGGAGGAGACTGTAGAAGCCATGCTATTGTATGTATCCTATGCAGGTCCCTTTCCTCCCACTCTGAAGTGCCTCAAAGCAGCCATAAATGACCTCCTAGTAGAAATTCAGCCAGGAGGTACAGGAAGGTGGAATGGTCTCTACCGCTTGCCCTATTCTGCACAAGATCCTTATAAACCTCCAATTTCTGGGATTATGAGCATCAAAGACGCAACACATAGGATTGCACCCTTAGGGATTACTGCTGCTGCTCCTAGGCATATCTAAAGATATTTCAGAATTCCAGATTCAAGACTGGAGGCACTACTCAGATCTGGGAATCTGACTCCCTGCCCCTTGCATCCGGAGCTGAAGGAACTGTTGGAGTCAGCTGAGATCATTTTCAGGTTGGGAAAATGATCTCAGAGGCAGGAAGAATGTGACATTTCCTGGCATCTCTGCAACATCCTCCCCCATCACCACCTGAAATGCTTCTACTACCAGAAGAATGTTAGTCAGTGAAAAGGCAGGGCAGGAAACAAGTTTGGGGGCTTACCAGTATTGCCATGGTATTATGGTGACCTTAACCTGTGAGAGTTTCTATGAAAAGTTTACCAAATAGAACATGGTATTTCCAGGTAGAACAAAGCAAAGTACTACAGTAGTGATTAGGCAGATAGTGTATGAATGAGTTGCAAATGATACGTGATGTGTGATGTGTGTCCCACAATGTCTTGGAATTCATTCATTCATTCATTCATTCTTTCTACGTGTCTACCTAAAGCGTACTTCCTCCAACAATTACAGCGAAAACATTCATTCCCAATCTGTGTGGCAAACCATTATTATAGTCCATTGTTGCTTTCTCTGCTATTCCAATGTATACGCCCAGAAGTTTGGGAAAGCTCACTGGTGCTATTTTTGTCAGGGCTGCTGTGAAGAGGGAGGAAAGAGGCATACCTGCACATGCATGCGCGCACGCACACATGTGCTCACACAGACACAGACACAGACACACAGAGCATCCAAGGCTTGTCCCTGCTGCAAGCCACTCCAGTCACAGATTTCACAAAATCCTAATTTCAAAAGGTCTACTCAAAGCATGCAAGCAACCCATAGGTTTCACATTCTTCTTGCCAGATCAGTTAGTCATGTCTAGGGAATGTTTATTTTGGTTCTTTAAATGGCCAAATGTTTATTCTGATGGGTTTTTTTTTAAGGCAAAATAAATATAATTCAAGAAACTATAAGGTGACTGCAGGAACTTCCAGTTCTATATGTACATTTGGGATTCATTCATTTAAAATATATTTAATTTATAATCAGTATATATGAAGCCCATATCACACTGTAACATTTTAGTATCAGATTCTTGTGCTTGATGTGTCAAATTGGTACACTGAAATTTTTTCTTTAATTAATCTTCAGTGTTCTCTTAATTATTTCCTGGGAACACTAATCATTGAGTTTAAAGGAATGCTTTTATATTCAGATCTATATTATACCTTAACATATTTTTGCATTTGAGCATTAAAGACACATGTCTTTCAATAGCAGCCATTAATTCTAGACATCACTCATGTAAAAGCATCTAGTGCATCATCCTTTCCCGGGCAAGGCGGGGCCCTGCAACTTGGGGCTTGACAGAGCACACAGGAATTGGTACATCTGCACAAAAAATGCAACCCGCAGTTAGAAGATTTGTGCAAACCTTTCCTAGTCTCCTTTCATCTCTAAACTCTTCAAATTCATTGTATGTTGCTTTGATTTAATGGTGCTTGTATTGTATTTTATTGATTTGTTTTTAGCCATTGCCCAGAGAGCTCCACCTATGGGCCAGTATGCAAGTGAAATAAATAAAGTAGCTGGACTAAGTGAAGTGAAAGGACTGGATAAGGACATAAGGAGGTGCATTCTAGACCCTCATTTGCCCCGCTTCTCTGTTGTGCTGCTTGTTTGCTCAAACATGGGTACAGCAAGAAGTAACCATTGTGGTTTATGCTGTGCTAGTCGCAAAGTCGTGCCCGACCCATCGTGACCCCATGAGCAACATTCCTCCAGGCCTTCCTGTCCTCCACCATCCCCCGAAGTCCACCTAAGCTCACACCAACTGCTTCAGTGACTCCATCTGGCCACCTCATCTTCCACTGTCCCCTTCTTCTCTTGCCATCAATTGTTGCCATCAACTCTCTTCTCCAGGGAGTCCTTCCTTCTCATTAGGTGGCCAAAGTACTTGAGTTTCATCTTCAGGATCTGGCCTTCTAAAGAGCAGTCAGGGTTGATCTCCTGTAGGACTGACCGGTTTGATCACCTTGTGGTCCAAGGGACTCGCAGGAGTCTCCTCCAGCACCACAATTCAAAGGCCTCAGTTCTTCAGTGCTCAGCCTTCCTTATGGTCCTACTTTCACAGCCATCTATTGCAACTGGGAAAACCATAGCCTTGACTATACACATTTTTGTCGGCAGGATGAGGTCGCTGCTTTTTAGTATGCTGTCTAGATTTACCATATCTCTCCTCCCAAGGAGCAAGTGTCTTGTAATTTCTTGGCTTTAGTAGCCAAATATTATTTTATTGTGTTTGCATGACTTTTTTTCAAGGTGTAATTCCTTGTCAACCACGCATGTTGTTCAAGAAGTACAGAAATACTGAATAGGCCTACAACAGGTGTCCTTCAACATATTATTTAAAAATATTGTATTTACAAAAGCTAGATTTATTTTAATTACATTTAAGGACAGGAGCATACATTGTGGTTTTTTAATCATGTTTCTTGACTTACATAACTTAATCCTGCTACAGTTAACTGCTACTGTTCTGATTTGATGAACATTTGTCATGTGACCTATAAGACTTTGTTCCATTAAACTTGTGCCATAATTATTGCTGTTTTACCTACAGCATGGCTATCCAAGTTGACAAGTTCAGCTTCGAAAGTTACCCAGACTCGCCTGGTGAAAGAGCACAATTCACAAACCCCAAGCAGCTGGAGGAAGAGAGACAGCAGGCAAAAGGTCTGGAGATCAACAACAAGTTAGATATTTTCTGGAAAATTATATCCTTTCAGAATTGCATTTGTCTTATCAAGATACTCTTGAACATGCCTGTGACCTTTTAATTTAAATAATTTTTATGAAGTGATCTGAAAGGGAGGTTGGTTAGAAATAGAGCACTTAAGGTAATTATAGAATTCTTTTAACTCTTAATTTACTTAGATTTTACAGTACATTCAGTGTAATGCATTATCGTCACTTTTTTTGAGTGGGCACACTCCAAGGTATAACGGGATTCCCATGCTCTATTTATTTAGATATTTACTATATATGCCTATTTTGTCACAGCCTGTTGTTTCTGTACATTCATTCTGTACATTTTATCAACTCACAGAGATCTGAGATGGTCTGATTTTTGAAAATGATAAACAAAATACCTTTTAACAAAATATCAGTTGGAGCAATTTCCTAGCCACACTCCATCAGAGATTCAAGAGGGAGGAAAACTACTAACAATTTCTTTAGGTATTTCAGTGGAATCCGGAGGCATTTAAGGAAGATTTGACAGCCCAACTAACAGACCGCAGTGGTTTGATGCTGGAAGCACCCCCTTTCTTTATCTCCGAAGTACAAAACATTTTCTGTGCTTTTTAATAACTGTATTGTTCATGGTCAGGAAGCTGCAGTTGGGACAGAATACAGAGGAACATAATGGTTTCTCATAGGTGAAGATGTCTGACAAGGATATATTTTATCTCCCTATTTGTTCGGTCTGTATGCAGAACATAAGATAAGGAAAGCTGAATTAAAATCAAGGACGGAGTGAAAAATGATGCATCACTAATTTAAGATATTCAAATGGTAGCATATAATTGGCAGAAAGCTGCAATGACTTGAAATGACTCCAGAGGAAAATGCAAGAAGAAAGTAAAACTGCAAGACTGCAGCTAAATACTAAGAAAAATATCAGAAAAATAACAGAAAAGAAAAATAACAGATCTTCACTGTTAATAATGAAGAATCTATATTGTGAAAGATTTCATATACCTCTGTTCAGTTATCAGTTCAAAGGGAGACTGCTGCCAAGAAATTCAAAGAAGACTGAGATTTGTAAGAACAGCAGTGTAGCATCTAAAAAGATCATCAAGTGTAAGAACATTTCACTGGAGACCAAGGTCAAGATCATCCAAACAATTGTACTCCCAATCATAATGTATGGGGTAAGACAGCTGACAGGAAGGAGATTGATGTGTTCGAAACATGGTGCTGGGAGAGAGCTTTGCAAATACCCTAGATGGACAGAAACAAGTAGGTCGTAGATCAAATCAAGCCAGAGCTTTCCCTAGAAGCAAAAATGAAAGAAACTAAGGCTATCATAATTTGTACACATGATGAGCAGGCAAGACTCACTGTGAAGACATAATCATGTTAGGGAATGTTGGAGGCAGAAAACAAAAGGGAAGACCAGAGATGTTATTGACTGAATCCATACTCTTGAATTTGGGAAAGCTGAACAGAGCTGTCTTGTATAAGACATTTTGGAGGGCTTTCATGTTCAAAACCTTTCCTTAAAATACTTTTGAAAGGAGCATATTATCTGTCTGCTTAAGGTCCTTGGCTCAAAGCTAAAAGGATGGACCACAATCCTTTTTCACTTAAACCAAACGATTATCATTCTGTAAAATTTCATAGCATGCAGATCTTCTGGCTGATGGAAAAGAGGAGTCCTTAGCTTAGCAGGCCAGTGTGTCCAGTTCCTTCCTACAGGGTGGAGAGATGTGGAGATCTTCATACCCATTTTTAAAAAGTAACTAATTTTTATTCTTTATTGAAACAACATTATCTATTGATTTTGATTGTTTTTCTTAATAATCCAGTAATGGAAGGCCTTTTCTTCATTTTTTCAACAAGCATGTGCTGTTGGCATCTGCTGTTTTCTAAACAGCACAATGATGTTACTGCTATTCAGTATTTGAGCAGATGGCAAAGAATTTTTAGACTGGGTAATATTTTTCAGCCTGCGCCTTTTATTAATATTTCCTAAATATTTAGTAGGTTATTCAAAATAAGTGCTATTCTGGGGGCAATTTGGCAACTTGAAGAGCGATATTGGCAGGCAAAATGGCTCTTAGGTATTTAGAAATGGAAAGCACTTGCATTCAGATTGTAAAAGGAGAAAAGTAATTGAAGCAAGTTAGAAAAAAATGTGTTGAGATAAATGGCTGTATCATGCACCTGATAACTCCATTTCAGTGTCTATCTTTCCCTATGCTTTTAGCTTTATCTGTAAAATGAAAAGTAGTTATACTACATGAAAGTGTCAGCCCCTAGAGGTATGCAAATTTGTATTTAATTTAAAATAATAAAATATAATAAAATAAATCTGTATTTAAATTAAATACAGATTTCAGAACCAGCACCAAAGTGGCCCACTGCTTTCTTTTTCTTCCTTGTCCACTTCTGCACCATACCCAGAGAACACCCTGACTGTAGGTGTGAAATGAGCAACCACTGACTTCTCCATGGCAAAAGAGAACAGTAGAAAGGAACATAGTAAAGTTACTGGTGGATGTGGTTTAACTGAAAGCTTATGAAGGAAAGCTTGATAAATATGAGAGTCATGATGAAATGTTGAAACTCATCTTTAATGTATATTAATAATTATTCGGTAGTGTAGGCAACTGTATTATTCCTACATTGCATTTATATCCCACCCTTTTTCTTCTTGTGAGGAACTTAAGACAGTTTACATTGTCCTCCTCCACTCTAATTTATTCTCAAAGCAACAATCTTGTGAAGTAGGTTAAACTGTTAGTGACTGTTTGGCCTGAATTCATCTAGTGAGCTTCATCACCAAGGAAAAACTAGAATTTAGATCTCCCAGGTTCCAGTCCAACCCTCTAAGCACCATAGTGGCTCTAATTGTGATTATTTGACTTTAAGCTGAAAAGATGTGTGTGTGAGGTGGGGAATTTACAGTTAAAATCAACCAGCTTGGTGAGTAAATGGTATCAGTACAGGAAAGAGAAGGTAGTCCAAAAAACCCCCCAAGCATATATTCTTAGGAGGACAAATATTCCTCGATAATCCATAGTCCAAAAGTTCTTACTGCAAATGGAATGTGTTCATTAATCATTTTAATCAATTACAATTTATAATTTCTGTTTATGAAATTGTGTTGATTTAATTATGCTGAAGTAGCACTGGAATGCATTCATTCACCTGTATTTATTCACATGAGAAATGACAATTGAGACAGAAAGAAATACATCTTCATTAAAAAGTGCCTGAGGTCAAAGTGGGCACAATTAAAGGATTTAAGAATTATTGCAGGATGGGGTTGGATGGAACTTGTCCCAGCTTTTCAAAACAAAATATTATTTTATTTATTTATACAGTATCTCTAAGTAAATGTTGTTACCAGTCTAGTATGTTGGAAACCAGTGGATTCTTTTTTCATTGAATTTTATCCTAAATATATCATCAGCCTTCTTACTCATTATTTAAGGGTGCCTGTCTATGGGGTTGCCCATAACCCTTCAAACTTGGAAGACTACGGGCATCGGATGCAGGGCAGGAAAAGTATAGAGGCTAAGATTACCTCTGTGCCCCTGGCACCCTCCGAAGTACCAAGTTGTTTTGGGTTGTTTAAATATCTTCTTCCTCCATGCAAGGATGAGACACTGGCAGGATCCATTGGATGACAGTGGTGCCTTGATCCTCTCCTCCCTACGATCTTCCCTGAAGATGGTCTTCCATCTTTGGCACTAGAGCCAGTGCAGAAAGCAGTACGCCTGCTGCAAAGGTGGGGCAAGGGGTCCTCTGAAGGTGGAATCCCTGTTGCCTCTTCAGAAGGCTCTTCCAAATTTGCAGCAGGGACTGCCTTTTCCAGTGGCAGAGCAGACAGCATCTACCAGCCACAGACATGTGCCGTAAATATAATCCAGTATTTGCATGCTTAGTGTCTGCTTCCGTGTACACGTAGAAAAGTGGATTTTGCTTGTTTGTAGGTTGACATAATATTTGAAAGTAAAATGATCTTGTTTACAGCTTGTGATAGTAATGTTATCAGCTGGAAAAATTGAAGAGAGTTATGTAAACAGCAGGCTGCCTTGATCTGAAACCATTAGCAAGTGGTACTTCTTGAAGGACTACAGTATGCCTGGAAGGCAGATCCAGCTCAGGCACCAGTTAAAGAAGGATCTCAAACAGCAGTGCTGAGATAGCATTCTAAAGCCGCTGACAGTTGAACTGCATCGTGCTGTCTAGATGGGCCAGTGGTCCAACACCCTCTAAATCAATTTCATCTGTATCACTTGGCTCAGACGATAGACTTCCTCTTGTCCATCATGGAGGGAGATGGAGGGATGGAGCAAAGTACCTACGAAGAACCCAATCGTTTGTGAGACTCATTGTGGTTATTTCATGAATATAGCAAACCCACCATGGGTGATAGCCACAGTGGCTTGTTGTACGTCTACATGGTGCCATTATCTCTGCAGTACTTATAATTCTTTTTATTCCACATTAATGCCCCCAGCTCTTTCTAACCGTTTCCTCTCAAGCTGTGTCCATGCATATTTTCTTTTAGCAAGCCGTATTCTCTCCAGTGTTCCTTAACTATAACTTACCCCTCTTTGAAACGAGAAGGGGAAGCAAGCGTTGAAGGTGTTCTCAATCAGCTAGTCCTGGAGCACCTACAGCTGGCTCCTCTCCAGTGGGGTAAGTAATGTTGGATCGTTATATAAAATTTGGTTTCATATATGGTGCGTCTTACGGACATACTGTGTAAAATCATTTGGTAACCTCTTCATATTTTGTACAATGCCTAGTGCTGCATGCAGCTTTCATTTCCGACTGTTTGCTAAAAAACACTGAAGCCAATTGAGTTAGTATGAGACCTTTCCTCCAGTGTTTAGGATATATAGGCCATGAAAAATCATCTAAGTTAGACATTGATTTTTTCAGTGCCAGTTTAAAACTGTCCCCTGCTCTTGGGCATTTGATGCTATTTGGTGTGGTTTAAATGTCATTTGTTTTATCAGGTATTTTATTGTAATGATTTGAAATTATGTTTAAGATGTTGTATGTTGTTTTTTAAATTATGGATTTTTATGAACTACCCATAAAATTTTAGCTGCTAGGCAGTATTGAAATGAAAATGAATCAAAATATATTTTCCTCAAAACCAAATGCTCATGTTGGATGATAACTTTGCTGTGTGCTCTAATAGAGTATGGATATAGTCTTGCCAAAAATAAAAAAGCTATTAATTACTTAATAAAACGCATAACTCTTGCATGTTGTATGGGACTCTGCCAGCACTTTATGGTTTAATAATTTATCTGTAACATTTCTTCTGATGCATGATAAAGCATATTCTCCGCTATGTATTAGAGTGGATTTTATTTGATTTCTTTATGGGCAGTCAACATATGAAGAATTATCTTCATGGAGTGAAGGTGGGTACATTTACACTATGATATATGTAGGAAAATCTGCAAATGGAAAATCAAAGTTAAACCTAACACCTTCTTGAAGTGTGTTCATGTTCGTGTGAGAGGGGGGCTCTGGTTAGGCATTGTCTTCCCCTCTTGCAGATGGGGAAAATGGCCTGGAGAGCTAAAATTTAACTGAAAAAAATACCTTGTAGAAAGAATATTACACATTCCTTTTCCCTTGTTCAACCAAATACACACATTTAATGGTATCTTTTGATTTCAGTCAAGGCATCAAAAAGTAGTATATATCGGGATGGTCAAACTTGCTTAAAGGAAGAACCACAGATGATAAATGTCAGATGTTTGAGAGCTACAAGACATGAACAACTATTTATTTATTCATGAAAGACCAAACAGACTTTGTTACAAATATCAGGCTAGTTGCTGCTTTATGATGGTAGTGGGGACGGAAAAGGCTGACTCGTTCTCTGCAGGACTCTTGCACATGCTGCCTGGACTGCTGTTCGAGGCTCAGAGCAGAAGTGAGATGATTGACGTGCAGCTGTGACTGGTTATCACAGCCATAGATCTGTGCCTCTTTTCCCTGGAGGGTTTTGTGCCCGCCTCAGCTGCTGGTTGAGCCTCCATCGGTTGAGGCTCAGAGCTGAAGTCACTTCACTGAAGCACCGCAATTGGCTATCTCAGCAGGAGTCTCAGCTTTTGCAGCCCCTTTTCAGTGCTGGCTTGGCTGCTCAGATAAGTAGTTGTGTCAGGCTTTTGCAGCGCCCCTGCAAGCTGCAAAATAAAGTCAAAGAGCCACATGTGGCTCGTGTTGTGAGCGAGGTGTACCCTCCCCAGCAGGGCAGATGCTTCAGCACTTCTTGTACACATCTCTTCCGCCTGTCCGTCCGTCCGTCCGTCCGTCCGTCCATCTGTCCTTCCTTCCTTATGCCACCTACTACTGTAGTTTCAAGGCAGCTTACCATAAAGATAAAGGCATGTATAGTGTATATATATAAAGATAAATAAGATGTGAAATAAAAATAAAACTTAATTATCAAAATTTAAAACCTAACCATAATAACCAAACAAAGCAGCAGTTCGGGTGGGGGGGGGGCAGATCAATGACTAAAAAAGATATTAAAAAGAGATGTTTTTGCCTGGCGCCAAAACTGTAATAGAGAGGGTGCCAGGTGGACTTCCCAGGGGAGGCTATTCCAGAGGCAGGGAGCAGCCACCGAGCAGGCCCTTCATCTATTTGCCATCCCCCCTCACCTCTCTTAGGGATGGCACGTACAGAAGGGACTCCTGGTCTGATCTTAAGGGACAGGTAGGTTTGTATGGGAGGAGGTGGTCCTCCAGGTAGCCGGGCCCTAAGCTGTTTAGGGCTTTATATGCTGTAACAAGCACCCTGAACTGGGCTTGGGCAGCAACTGATAGCCAATGAAAATCTCTGATCACTGGGGTAATGTGCTTTCTGAGAGGCATACCCATTATCAACCTTGCTGCTCGATTCTGATCAAGTGCAATTTCCAGACCATCTTCAAGGGCAGCCCCACGTAAAGTGCATTGCAGTAATACACAGAAGCCTCTGAGCATACAGAAAGTCAAATGTTGACCCCTCACTGCCCCCTTCAACCAAAGCTTTGCTTATGAACCCTCCTGTGCTTGTCTCTTCACTCCGAGACCCCATTTGGGCCACCCTGCAGCTGTGACGATGTTCTTTTGGGTCCACCTCCTCAGGAGGCTGGAGTCGTCCATCCAAGAGACTCCCCAATCTCCTCCCTCAGCAGATTGTTGTCATTCTTCGTTCCCACGGGGAGTCTGACTGGGCCCCTCAGCTGGCCTTGAAACAATCTCATCCTGAACAGGCATAGAGAAACTGGGACAGCAGCCGGGGCTGCGTCCGTCACAACAACCATTTCATTGTTGGAGTCCATGCTGTCAGGTCAGGCCTGCCAGGGTCAGCCAACACCCCTTCATAATCTCCTCGTCAGAGTCGGAGCTGTCAGTCCTGCCAAAAAGGTCAGCTTTGTGTGTGCCTGGGCATCTTGCCAGAACGTGTGCTCATGACAGCTCGTGAGCCTCGGTCTGGCCACCCCGGTGTATATCGATGTGTTAATCTTTTGCTTTGTCCAGAGTTGCACTGCAAAATTAGCTGGTCAGAAATGACTTTTTTGAGGCAGAGTGCCTGGATGGGCACTTGCCTTGAAACTCCAAGCACTCTGGTATAGATTTGGTTATTGGGATCCAATTTGGCTTCATTTCCAGCCTAGGATTGGCACTGAGACAACTTGGTTTGCCCTGATGAATGATTTTTGACAAAGAAGGCCATGCATGGGTGTTCATGTTAATTTGCATTAGGGCTTGAAAGCATGGTTCTGGATGCTTCTGTGACTGTTTGGATAGCCTCATCCAGAAGGTAGTCCGAAGCAGTGCGTTTCAGTCCTGCTGTAGCTATGCTGAAGTGTGCCAGGAGTCTCCATTTAACCTCCTGTGCTATTTGCATGAAACCACTGAGATTATCCAGAAGTGTGGTGGGGTGAATATTTATCTGCTCTCCGTAATCTATTTTTGATGCTCTGAGTTATTTTTAAGTAAGTTTGTTTTTGAACTGGGATATAAAATATTCTGTGGGAAAATGTTATTTCTGCATAACGAGTTTATCTTAGTGCCGTTTTTATGGCACTTTATGCAATACGTTATTTTTATTTATTTTTATGTTGCATTTCAATTCTTTGCGATCTGTTTCCGTCACTGGGCCATGAGTAAACAGTTCCTGTACATCAAATCTATGAACTAAGTAGAAAAAAAGTTCAGGTTTCTCCTGCCAGTTTCTTATAAAATCATGGAAGAGATGGATGCACAGAATTTTGCATATTGGCTGACATTCTGTATATTTCTCTTCCCCTACATTTTTACGTGCTCTAACAGGGCATCCTCTGTTACCTCAAAGAAAAAGAAAGACCTTGTTCAATAATTATACTAGCTTGTACTTGTTTGTTAAAGAAATGCAGAAAGAAAAAAGAAGTTAAGAATGATAAATGAATTAAAATACAAAAAAGCAAAAAATGAAGAGAGAAATGCTGAGGGCCAATATGAACATTTTTACATTGTTACAGTAATATGTTCTCCCTCTTAAGTTATTAAAATGTGCAATAAATCATGTGTAATGTGGGAAGAATCTTGCTTAATATTTCAAGAACCCATTTTGGAATTTGTAAGTTTCATTTCATTTCTAGAAACTGACCTAAATGTAGAAATAGACATATTAATATACATAAGCACTATAATACTCAAAATAAACCATAAAATATTATTGGTGCCCTTCACAAAGACTATCAGTTATTGAATATTATAGCAATGAATAAATAAGTAATAAAACCAAAGAAAGTCTTTATATGCAAGAACATGTTTTTGCCCTACGAAATATATTTTATAGTGACTTTTCTTCTCTATTCATATAAGTAACTTACAAAATCAAAGAAAGGAAAGAAGATCATATAGATACTTGAAAACTCTTCTATCCATTCTGAAGATTCTTTGGACACTTAAGAGAATTACTTTGAGCATTCCCAGTGCTGGATCATGCCCATTGAGACTTGTCCTTTAACTGATCTTTCTGTATCATCTACCTGTCTGTGAACCCCCCATAAACCATAATACATTGTTTTTGAAATGTGTGAATTACAAAAAAGCATTGTTTTATGCTTTATGGGGGATTCCAGTCTAAATGTTTCACTAGATGTGAGAATTTAGTCCTGTGTTATTAGTGTTACTGTTATTATTTATTTCATTTTGTACCACCCATAGCCAATGCTCTCTGGGTGGCTTAGAACAAAGACCAATTATGGAACTTCACACCCAGTTCTACACATTAAATAAGGGCTCTGTCAGGATTATTAGCTCTAATGGCTAGAAAGTCTCCTTGAGCACTTCAGAATCCATCATTCTTCAAGAGAATACCATTAGGATGGTTCCCCATCTCTGCAACTCATATGGCATCCTCCCTCAATCCAGCTACCATATTTATGACTCTGCTCTGAACTGGTTCCAACCTTGCTATGTCCCTTTTATAATGTAGGGCCCAGAACTGGACACAGTACTCCAGTTATGGGCACACCAGAGTGTTATAGGGAGGTCCCAGCACCTCTCTTACTCTTAACCACACTTCTGGCTGTACATCAGAAGTGTGTGCCATTTGCCCTCTTAACTGCCATGTCACACTGCTGGCTCATGTTTAGCCTGCTGTCGACAAGTACCCTGAGATCCCTTTCACAG